TAACCATAAGTAAGCAAACAAAATGCAAGTTTTTGCATTTTTATTTTTTTGATTGCAGTCACGGATATTTTAGAAAATTGAGTTTTCCCTTACGGTCCCCATAAGGTAAAAAAAAAATGGGTATTCATCACATTTGGTCCCCACAAGGTAAGGTATATCTGGACCATGCACACCTACACACATCCATCCAGGTCAGGGTCACTGTGGGGGTCTGTAGGATTGTAGTCCATCAAAGGGCTCATATATATATATATATACCCAACACAACAGTGTTGTGTATATATATACACACACACACACACACACACACACACACACATTTACCTAAGAAACCCCTATTAACATTGATTTAATTAATCTGTGCTCTGACTGGGGACTCAATCAAATAGCATGAGCAGTCAGAGAAACCACCAGCCAATCAGAATAAAATAAAGGCAAGTACATTTAAAGCAAGCCACTTGTCACAAGTGGCCATTGAATTATTTTAATGACTGAAAAATGTATTGACCTCCCTCTGAATTCCAAGTCTTTAAATCAATTTTAACTAAAGCTCAAATTTGCCGAGACCCCACAACCTCCAGCACAGCATTACTTTGCAGACACGCCATGCGCGGTTATTCCAGGATTCCCCCCTTAAATACAGTGGTGCTCCTTAAACAGCAGTTAGCTTTTCCTGTTTGCAGTGTTTCCTCTCCAGCAGGCATCTCCCCTGTCCGACCTCACACGTCATTACAGTCATTTCTTCAGTAAATCCCAGACTCTCTCCATGAATCTCCAAGAAAAAAAAAAACCCCACAAGGAATTACAGCAATTAAAATGGAGGGGGGGGGGGTCAATCCTTTACTTTAAATTTAACACTTTTCCGCAATTACAAGCCCAAGACCTTTGTTTTACCTAGAAGCACTCCCAGACAAACAAGTCAGATGCAGCCCAGTAGGTAGTTGCCTCCATTGCCTGAAACGAACCAGACACGCCCTGGCTATCCCCAGCCCCCCACCCCCCACCTGTCAGCTGACCTTGAGAGAGCTACATTAATGGCACCCCCTAACAAGGTGACTGAACTCTCAATCTGAGCTGCAGCTAATGGCTTGGTGCCCGACGGGTGCATTTTGCTTTGAGCATGTCAGGTGACAGGAAGAGGCGGGACAGACGAATTACTCAGTGAGAGAGCTGAAGCATTAGAGGCCTTTACCACTGATCGGTAAGGGAGGTGCAGATAAAAAGGCAGCGGGGGGGACAGTCACAGAAAAAGGAGTGGGGGCTTGCCTTCCTTCTCCTGTGCCATGACGGGGGTCTGCGTCTCCTTCGTGTAGGACACAGTCTCGCGGGGAGGGAAGTCCACGTGGACGATCTTGGCCATGCCCAGCTTCACGGCGGCCCGTCTATGGGGAAACACAGCTTCAGATAGGGGAAACACAGCTTCAGATAGGGGAAACANCACCCTGGACGGGATGTCAGTCCACTGTCGGGTACAGGGCAGGGGTCACCCTGGACGGGATGTCAGTCCCAAAATTCACAGTTTGGTACAAACCTCGGTTTTGGGTACACAGTTTGGTGAGATGCTGGTACAGCAGGGATTCAAAATTCATTTTGAAATTATTCACTACTAAAACTACAAACACAATTAGGAACAAATGTTAAACCAAAGGCAATGTGTTTCACGTCAGTGTACCTGAATGACAAAACATACGGCACGCTTATTTGCACAGTAAAAAAAACAAGCAAAAAGTAAAATTTCAATAAGATGGCATGATGACAATCATAATGGACTAAATCCTGTTCTTGCTACTTTGCTACTACAGAGTATGGTCGCATATCTGTAGCCATAAACACCCATATAGCTGTAGTAACTTTTCTTACATGGTCTGACTTTTCTTGGAACCAGCACCTACGATGCCACGTGGAGACTACATGCAGAGGCTGTTTCTGCTTCGCTCCGGTGATACACACACTTGGATGATGTAGTTTCAAATGAGTTCACTTTGCTTGTTTTCAGCAACATATGCAAGCTCAGTATAGCAAAGCTGGGCGACACTCTTGGTCTTATTAACTACTCTTTTTCCAATGTTGGTGTAATTCATCGGAAAACCAAAATGTTCCCAAACTGTTGATTATAACTGACTGTAACCAGCATTATCCGTAACCAACCGACAGCCACAATTAGCATAATGTTTTCCATACTGAAGATCTACTTATGAATTTAGGTTTCACTTGTGTCAAGAAATACAGTGGTACCTCAGTTCTCTAACCCCTTAGAACTTGAATTTCTTAAAAGTCGAACCAGCCAGTTCGGAAAAAAAATGACCTAGAGCTTGATCTGAATCTCAGAAGTCAAACCGTGAACGCCGACCTAAGATAACTTGTATGCGCGGGGAAATGAGCCACGCGGCATGTCTCTCAGCGGAAACAAAGGGTAACACTTCAGTCTCAGCCTTGCATTTGCTGCGATACATTCAGACAATGATAGACAGTAACAGTAATTATTATTATATAATAAAATACATTTAAAAATAAAGATTTCTTGTTCATTATTTTAATATTAACAATAAACCATTAATACATTTAATTATAATAATATTGTCGTGACAAGCGGGGACGGAACGGAGACAAAGGCGCAGAC